ATGGAACGACACGCGAAGAAGTACCACATGTTTCCGCACGCAGTCAAAACTGGACTCGTCGTGGCAGTAAAAGATTGCGGCGAGTGGTATCGCGGAACCATTACCCATGTCGGTGGTTCTACTGCCGTAATCACCCTGGGTGATTGGGGACGCATCATTAAAAAACCAATTACACAATTGTACAACCTACCGCAACGATACCACTTAATGGCATGGCAGGCTATAGGCTGTGGACTACACGGGGTTAGATCCGTAGAATCGGCGGCCCGCTGGCCTAAAAAGACAATAGAGATTACCAAACTACTTGCCGAAAACGAAATAGGTTACATGGTGATCAAGCGACCTGTAGAGAAAACAGGGGCAGACATTGACCTCTATTTAGAACGGCCCGGACAAATAGGACTCGCGGACTTGAAAAGGGACCTAATAGCGATAAACCTCGCTATAGAAACAAACAAAAATTACAGGCCATTTCCCTCAATATAAGGAATATATACTCTTATAATAACACCTATTATATACTTTCATATATATATCTTTCTTTTATATAACCTTTTTTTTTATATATTCATATATATATATATTTTTATATACTCTTATATGCTTATATACTTTTATACTTTTATATACTCGCACACTTTACATACTTTTATGCTTTTATACACTAACACATATTCTTACATGTTACATATATACTGTATTACGTACCACATGCATTTATACTATATATCGTATTATACATCATACACAAAAAAAAAAATATATATATAATTTTAATAAATATATATATAAATAAAAATTTTTGTAATAAAAATAATAAAAAAAAAAGAGAGAGAAAAGAAAATATTTATAATAATTTATAATGATGATACAAAGTATAACACTGAATTTCCCTTTTCTTTATAAGATACTATTTCAATATTATTTTCTTTTTTCTCTATACATACATATATATAGAAGGACGAAAAAAAGGAAGGAAGGGGTTTTGGTGGTCGCCTTCTCTTTCCTCCTTCTAAACAAACACGAATTATTATAATTGAGCTCTTTCTAATTATATTTATCAGATGATTTACGAATAATTGCGTCAATCTCCTCGAAGTATTTTTTCCAGATTATTTTATAACATATTTAAGCAGACAACCTAGCAGGTTTTAACCGCAAAACAGGATAACCATACTGCAACCCGAAACACGAACTACCAGACTAAAAAGGAAAGAGGATCCGAAGCCTGCCACCTTGCGCTGCCTGGCAATAAAACAACACATCTGTAAAAACTCAAGGACCATATCAGCTACAAATGAGTATTTTAATTGCGAAAATCGAATCGACTATATTACAATCTACACTCAATTACACACAATTAATACGATTTTAACAGTATACTACGTAGGCAAATGTTGGCGACCCCAACATTTGTCTAAGGCAGGGGGTGTTACGTCCTGTAGATTTAATTAGCAAAAATTCTTTCCCCTCGCGGATTTATATTCTCCTAATATAACTATAATAGGAATATATACATATATAAATATAAATTAGGAAACAGACCCATCTGGGGAACAGCCGTCGCGCCAAATGAAAGGCGATTCGTGAAAATTCCATAACAGGAAACAGTGCCCTGTTGTAAAAACCTATACCTGGGTAGTGTTCGCCAAGTGTGTCCGTCGTCCCAGCTATAAAAACTTGAAACTCCGCGCTAATAAACCTTCAGTGAAACAAAGCAACTCAGAGCATCCCTGCCCTAAAACTTGAAACTCACATCTTCCCAATCCAAAACCATATGTGCCCAATCAGTCAACCAACAAAGCCTACTTCACTGATAGTCGTAAAATCTGATCCCAGCCTTTGATTTACGGCATTTTGATTTTTCCAGCCGTCCACTTGTATACATTTCTCTATCTCAAGAACCCACCACCTCTACGCTTGTCGCGCCTAACTCATTCAGCCAATCATATATCCACCTAAAACTATGAGACACTCACGCTCCACCCTTTAGCCCTTCCATATTCATATCTCCAGAAACTAACTGTCTCCTCCCACAATGTCTTTTAACTTTGCTAATGGCTGAGACTTTTTCCCACTAAGACCAATCCACCCCTTCCTCAAAGGCCATCTCTCTACCCACCCTGATAGCTTCTGCTTCCGATTATCACTATAAAAACCGCGGTAATCCGCCTCCGCGGGCACTGCTACTTCTACTTCTAATTCTACTCTGAAAAAGGCAGTCATACTCTCACTCGGATATTCTGTTTTGAGCATTCAGAATTTAGATTTCAAGTCAGACATTCAGATAATATATCTACGATTCATATATCCGAGTTTGTGCGAACATTCAAAGAAATCAGCAAAAGGCATTAGTGTTTGTGTTATAATTGAACAACCGGAAGGGAGTGGACGAGCACAACTTAACCTACCGAGCAGGAGCTACCAAACGACAATTTTATTTTTTGCTCACCTTCGGGATAACAGGAGTCAGCAGTAAGTTCTGTTTTTTTTTGCTTCTACCTTTTTTTTTATTTCCTCCTTCTTTCACTTCTCATACATACACACATACACATACACAGTCATTCCTCAACTGTATTAAACCGCGCCGTAATTCATTTTGTTATTATAGTCATTTTAATAAATCTGTTTATATTTCATTCTTTTTCCAATTAATTTCAAAATCACATATACCCTTCCAACAGTCAACTCATGGTCCTATCCCCGGTAAAGGGATTCGCGTCCCTGACCGAAAAACGGACCGCTCGTCGTACGTCGGTGCCCGAGTAAAGGGACCCGTCGGGTCCCTGACCCGTTCACTGATACGCGTGTACGAACGAGATTCGCCTTACTCGCGAACGAAAGGGTTGCGTTCCTCCTCTAGGACGTAACACCCGGTGAGGAAAAATAAAAAGGAAAATGAGGAAGCCAGGGTCGCCAAGACCGAAAGAAAGGGACCGGTGATCAAAGAAAATGTTCCACTTAGAAAGAGGATAAGGGTGGAAAAAATGGAAGAAACAACGAAAGATAAGGAGGAAGATCTGGAAGAAGAAGTGAAAAGGGTGGTACTTAAGGTGTTAGGAACTTGGGCACCGCAAAGAAGTAATGAAAGGGAAAGAGAAACCCTCCAACAAAAAATGGAAGGGAAAACTGAAAGCAAAGGGGGAAATAAAGGAAAAGAAATAAAAAAAGTATCGGGAGGAGGTCAGTCGAAGACCCAGGTCCAGAAAGAAACGGATAATAGATAGCCTCAGGTCCGGAACTCTGGAAAAGAAATACAAACAACGTTTAAGGAGAAAACACCTGCTCTGACAATACATGAAGAACCATGGTCGAAGGTAGTAGGAAGAGGAGAAAAGAGAGAGGTAAGAAAAGAAGAACAAAGAAAGGAAATGGAAAGGACAAAGAGGGAAGAAAGTAAGAGAAAGGCGGAAGGGAAAAAGATTAAGAGGAAGGTCCCTAGCACAGCGGCGGTCACTATAACAGCAGACAAAAACCAATACAAGGAGTTGCTGGCTGAGGCTAAGAAAAAAATAGACTTGACTGGAATAGGGATAGAAAAGTTGAAAACCAGGGTCGGGGTTACCGGAGCGTTAGTTTTGGAAATTCCGGATGAGGAAAGAGGGAAAAGAGCAGATCTTCTAGCAGACAAACTGAGAGAGGTGCTATCTGATAGAGCAAAGATCAGCAGACCTCAGAAAATGGGGGAATTGAGGATAAGGGGTCTCGAAATATCCACCACGGAAAAAGAAGCTGCAGGAGAAGTGGCCAAAATAGGATGTGAGATAACGGACATCAAAATGGGAAATATAAGAGTAACCCCAAACGAAGTGAGGTCGCTCTGGATCCAATGCCCTATATTAGTAGTAAAAATGATCGCGAAAAAGGGAAGTATCAGAATAGGCTGGACACAGGCGAAGGTAGAAATGCTGCAAGCTAGGCCCTTGCAATGCTTCAGATGCCTAGAGCAAGGGCATGTGCAGCAAAATTGTAAAAACAATGTTGATAGAAGATCAAATTGTTACAGATGCGGGGAACAAGGGCACTTGGCAAGAGATTGCGAATCAAAAGCCAGGTGCCAAATATGTACAGATGCAGGAGTTTCAGCAGGACATAGGATGGGCGGACCAGCTTGCCGACCACCCAAGGGAAGGAGGAAAGTGGGAGGGGTAGTAGAGAGGCAAGAGGCATCCGCACCGAAGCCTCAGGACCCTCGTGCCCCCCCCCCAACGGCAAGGAAGAGGAGGAAAAAAGGGAGAAGAAAAACGGAGAGGGACAGAAAGCCCCATCACCGCTTCCACAAAGGAAACGACTCCCACCACTACCCCCCCTCCATTCTCCACGCAGGCGGAGGAGGAGAAAATGGAGGTAGAAGAAAAGAGAGGGGAGAAACGTCCACATCCGGTGGAGAACGCAGAGAGCGATGAGGGAGAGCAGCCTGGCGGTAAGGTCATCATTAATCTGACCGACCAATAATGACCACCAGGCTGCTACAAGCGAACCTACACCGCGCCTGCCAAGCCCAACCATTGTTTGAGCACTTGATGGCGGAGCGCGGTGCGGGATTAGGGATAGCGGCAGAGCCCTATTATGTCCCCAGAAACCACCCAAAGTGGTTTGGGGACGACAGGGGATCTGTCGCTATCACATGGAAGGCGAGCGAAAGCTCACCCCCGGCAAAATTCATAAGTTGTGGCCGGGGGTACGTCGTGGTCAGGTGGGGAGTGACCATCGTGGTCGGGGTATACCTCCCCCCAGCAAAGAGCCTGGACCTGATTGAATACAGGTCCAGGCTCCAAGAGATAGGAGATGCCATACGACAGTATCTCCAGCGTCCTGTCATCGTTGCTGGGGATTTCAACGCGACTATGGGGATCCCAGCGCGGTGACAGGAGGGGGGGAGGAAACCATAGATTGGCCCGCGGGCCTGGGTCTGCACATCCTCAATGAAGGTAATAAATCTACATTCATGGGGCAGCAGGGGGTCAATCACTGACTTATCGTGGGCAACTCCTATTGCCATGAGGAGAGTGCGGACCTGGAGGGTGGCGGACGAGATTGAAACTTTGTCGGATCATCTCATGATAGAGATGGAACTGTCCGTCACCCCCAATGGCCTGCGGCCAGATCAAAGGAAGGAATCCCGACCTGGAAGATGGTCACTTATCCAGTTAAACAAAGAGATCCTAGAGATCTCTTTGGAGGGCTCCACCTGGCCACGACGAAAGAAGGGGCAGGACCTTGACTCTGAGGTCATGGAGGTTATGGACATACTCGCACAGGCGTGCGATGCCTCCATGCCCAGAGTCAGGTCCTGCTCGAAGCAATCCGCCTGGTGGTGGTCCGACGAGATAACCGAGTTAAGGCGCAGATCGGTCCACGCCAGGCGGACGTTTCGAAGGGAGCGGAACAATCGAATCCCGAACCCTGAGGCCGCCCGGCCGGAATTCTGCAAAGCGGCTGTGGAATTAAGAGAAGCCATTGGGGCGGCTATATAGAAGAAGCCATATAGAGGAAGAAGGTGGGACGCTGATCCGTGGAGGCGTCCATATAGAATGGTCATGCAGAAGCTGAGACCATGGACGCCCCCTAAGACGGTGACGCTTGACTCCCGGTTCCTGGAGAGGGTGATGGGAACCCTTTTCCCGGTTGGGGAGGGTAACCCCATCACCCCATATATTCTACCCCGAACAACAGGGGGAGGTACCGGGGGTCACAGAGGAGGAGGTGGCCGAGGGTGTCAAAAAGGTCAAGAGCCGGAAAGTTCCCGGACCGGATGGCATCCCCGGCCGCGTCCTTACCCTGGCCTCAGGGTATATGAACGGGAGAGTCGCCGATTTGTTCACGCGAGCCCTTAGGGAGAGAAGGTTCCCCCCAGTCTGGGGGAGGGCCAATGTGGTCCTCCTCCAAAAAGAGGGCAAACCGGAGGACTCCCCCTCCGCGTACCGGCCCATATGCCTCCTAGACGAGGCGGGCAAACTCTTTCAAAGAGTCATAGCTGCCCGCCTCTAGAGGCATATGTCCCGGGAAGTTCCCAACCTCGATGACGGTCAATATGGCTTCCGGGAGGGGAGATCTACTGTAGATGCGATAAAGCATCTGAGATCCCTTTCGGAGGCCATCGTGATGGAGGGCGGGGTGGCGGTGGCGATATCTTTAGATATCGCCAACGCATTTAACACCCTGCCCTGGGGTAGGGTGGTGCAGGCAATGCGGAACTACTTCCGCTTCCCACCCTACCTCGTAGCCGTTATCGAGGACTACTTCCGGGGTCGGCGTCTCACGTGGACAGATGCCAACGGCAAGGTGCGCGAGAGGGGAATGAGTTGCGGGGTTCCACAGGGCTCAGTCTTGGGCCCATTACTGTGGAACCTCGGATATGACTCAGTCCTCCGGACAGCCCTCCCCCCCGGCTGTAGTATCGTGTGCTATGCAGACGATACTTTGATCCTGGCCGGGGGGAATGACTGGGGGAATGCCGTAAACACGGCCAATATCGCGGTGGCAGGAGTTGTGCGTGCCATCCGCAACCTGGGCTTGGTGGTGGCTGAAAGAAAGACGGAAGCCATCTTCTTTCATAACAAAGGAAGGAAGCCACCCCAAGCCTGGGTGCGGGTGGGTACAGTCAGGGTTCCGTTGGAGGCCCAGATGAATTATCTGGGCCTCAAATTGGACGGCACCTGGTGCTTCAGAGAACACGTTAATAGGCTGGTCCCGCGACTAAGGGTGATATCCGCCAGACTGGGCAGACTTATACCCAACGTCGGGGGACCAGATGAGAAGGCTCGTCGCCTCCACGCAGGAGTACTGAATTCTGTGGCGCTGTACGGGGCACCAGTTTGGGCGGAGGCCCTGGCCGCCAGTCGCCCGATGCAAGCGCAAATGCGCAGAGTGCAGAGGGTGCTGGCGGTCAGGGTGACGCGGTGCTACCGTACTGTGTCCTGTGTGACGGCGACAGTCCTGGCGAGCATGCCCCCCCTGGAGCTCATGGCCCTGTCGTACAAACGCATGTACGACAGGAAGCGTACAGCCAGCCACCCTACGTTGGGAGGGCTAGTTGGGGCACCGGGAGTCCCCGCCCGGTGCCTCACCCTCCCGCCCGGCAGTTACGGGGAGATGTACTCCCCTAGCCGCCGGGCTCACCCCACCTCCGCAGAGGAATGGGGTGGGGGTCCTAGTGACCCCCCTCCCGCATATCCGATTTATATGTCGGATCTGCGATTAGGGGGGGAGGAGTGTTCTTTCAATGGTTTGTCACCATCGTAACCTTCTCCCCCCTTATTTTTATCCGACTCCCTTTCTGAGGGGAGTTGGTGGCCTGCGGGTATGGGACCTGGGTCTGAGCCGTGCTCCCCACCCGATAGGGCCGCTCGGGGCCGAGGTCGGGGTCGGGGTACCCTATCGCGTCCTGAGAGATCCCACCCTCTGAGGCATTGCACGCCGGTGCTCCGGCAGCCGAAGAGGGGAGGACCTCTCTCCCTCATTCGTCCCAGCCACGGCTGGGCGAATGGAGAATCCCACACCCGAGTCTGCACACCATAAGGCTCACCCGATGGTACCCGGGGGGTGGAGGGGTGTCTCGGGCCGCTCGGACGTATTCCGAGGTCGGGGTCGAGACACCTTCATGCGCCATCTAGGGGAATCATCCCCGGAGGCATTGCACGCCGGTGTTCCGGCAGCCAAAGGGAATGATCCTCTCCCTCATCCGTCCTGGCCACGGCCAGGCGGAGAGAGGTACTCACACTCAGGTCTGCACACCGTGAGGGTTTGGAACCCCTCACGGTACCTGGGGGGTGGTGGGGTGCTCCTGGCCGCTCGGACGTATTCCGAGGCGCGGCCGGAGCCCCGGTGTGCTGTGCCCGAGAGAATGCGATCGCATCACCCTAAAGCGGACCCTCGGGCGGCGCGAGCACGCTGGCTGCCATTGAGGAGGCGTTCCAGGTGGGGTGCGACACCGGTGAACTACCTCCTTCCATGGGGCCCCCCGCGTGGCGGCGCTCTGCACGGTGCCCACATTGTCGGAGGTGTGGGACCCCCGAAAGCGGTCTGGCCACCAGAAATGGTGGTTAAGGCGCGTGTAGGGGGCGGGAGGCCTGTGCCGACGATGACACATTCCGTCGGCCCGTGCCATATGGTGCTCCTCTGGGGGAACTCGGAGGCTTCCCCTTTCCGGGGGGATGCGGGCATGCCCGGCCACCGGAGCCGTGCAGAGTTGTGGGTTCTAAACCACAATGACAGACATATCATCCTCCTCAATAAATGAATCATCGGACTCGGAAATAAATACGACGACCCAGGCTAAGTCCAAGGACATGAGAAACCGAACCGGCAAAAGCCAGGTAACGGTAAGGAGGGAGGGTCTTAGGAGCGGAAAGTCTCAAGAAATGACTAAGGCGGAAAAGACCTATGACAGTGATAGATCAAGATCGCCTATAAAAGTCGATGATTCGACATCGTTTGGCACCTGCAGAGAAGAGGATTCGGATGACGGTGAAAAAATCATAAGGAAAAAGGAAGGGAAATGGGAAATCCTCAAGAATGAGGACGATAATACGGACGAAGAACGTCTTATTGAAAAGGCTACCAGAGGTAGAGGTAGAAAGGAAACAACGAGGGAATACCGTTTGAAAAAGGAATTTATGGCAAGAAAACAAGTCATTATGGAACAGAAAAAGGAGGAGAAACTTCTGAAAGGAATGGAGAATCCAATGGAGGAATTCCAAGACTGTACTTCGAACAGAAAGTACAAAGCAGAAGTTAACAGATTAACCGAACATCTAGAGAAGGCCCCCTTCCGAGATATTACTGCGTCGATACTGGAAGCATCCACCAGGATTCTTGGATTTTCGCAAAAGTCTAAGAATTTAAGAGGTACTCATGTGAAGATCCTTAGAGATGCTGCAGCGGCAATAACAGCGGGAGCTAATTGTTATGGCCATGCAAATGGCACAAGACAAGTGCGGAAATAATCTGGACTTGATCGAAGAGTTGCCAACTGAAAATGCCAATCTGAAAACGTCGCTAAAAGAAGTTAAGAAAGAACTGGAGGAGGTTAAGGAGATGCTTCGGAGTTTAAGGGAGGCACCGCTATATACAACGGTATCCTCCCTGCCCCCGAATACCTAGGAAACGCGGACCAGAGTATAAAGGGGACACCACAACACATGGCGGGTGCTCCCTCGCCTCTGATGCGCGCAGAGGAAAAGGAAAGGACGATTACCCCACCTGGTGGATATGATGGAGGAGGAAGAGATCCCGATAGGAGTCATTGAAGTCCAAAAGGGATTGATTCCGAAAGACAGGAGACATCCAGTGGGGGAAAGGACTAGTGAAGCCAGGGTCGCAAGGAAAAAAGAGACACCCCAAGATTAGGGAAGACATCCTCCTTGATAACAAAGTTAGATTAGAAAGGAGGGAGGAACCAACAAAGAAAGGAAAGAAAGGACTGGAAGGAGAAATATCGAAAATGGTGTTCAAAGCTTCGAGCGAATGGGCATCACAGGACAAGGAAACTCCCAAACAAGGGACCGGGAAAAATACCAAAAGGAACAAGGGCAAAGGAATTAAGAAAAAGAAGGAAATGGAGAAAGAGTTGGGGGAGCAAAGAATTGCACAACAACATGGGAACAACATGCAAGACTACCCTCAACTACCATCCATGAGATCACAAAGGAAGGAACATCAAACACAACCTAGTAAAGAGGAAACACCTACACCACAAAAGGAAATGTCAAAAGTAGTGGGTAGGAGAGAAAAGAAGAAGGAAAAAGAAGAACAGAAAAGACAGAAAATAAGAAAGGTAGTAAATATTGAAAGAAAGGAAGGGAAAAAGATTAGGAGAAGAGTCCCTAACACGGCGGCAGTAACGATAACTGCGGAAAGGGGACAATATAAGGACCTACTAGCGGAGGCGAAGAGAAAGATCGACCTGACAGAAATCGGAATTGAGAAGATAAAGACCAGAGTGGGGGCCACCGGAGCTCTGGTACTCGAAATACCTGGAGAGGAAAAAGGTAAACAGGCGGACCTACTTGCAGATAAGCTCAAAGAAGTGTTAACCGACAGAACAAAGGTAAGCAGACCGCAGAAGATGGGAGAACTCTGACTCAAGAGGTTGGAGATATCAACCTCGGAGAATGAAGCAGCAGAAGCAGTGGCCAAAATGGGAGGCAGGCAGAATGCCAGGCAGATGAAATAAAGACTGGGAGAATGAGGGTGGCCTGGAACAACTACAGGACGCTATGGGTACAATGCCCCCTTGCGGCGGCCAAGAAAATTGTGGAAGCAGGGAACATAAGAATAGGATGGACGCAGACTAAAGCGGAGCTGTTGCAAGCGAGGGCCCTACAATGCTTTAGATGTTTAGAAACAGGGCATGTACAAATAAATTGTAAAAGTAACAATGACAGAAGTGCAAATTGTTACAGATGTGGAGAACCTGGGCACCTGGCTCGGGATTGCAATGCAAGAGTCAGGTGTCATATGCGAAGAGGCTGGCGTTCAACCGGGCCACAGAATGGGGGGGCCATCCTGTCGTCCCCCCAAGAGGAAAAAGAAAATCCCTGGGGATGCGGCGGAAGGGGGAATGGTGACCGCACCGCCACCACAAGACCCTCCCGCATCCTCAGAGGACAAGTTGGAAAAGAGGAAAGGAAATGAAGAAGAAAGGGAGGTGGAGGGAGGGGTAAGTCAGGAACTCGAGCCAGAACCCCTACCTCCACTTCCCCAAAGGAAACGGAGAACCTCCCTCCCTCTTACACCCCCCCTCAGACCCCCACTGAAGACGGGGAGATGAAGGTGGAGGAGAAGAGAGCGGAGAAGAGGTCTAGACCGGTAGAAAGAGAGGATAGCGATGGCGAACAGCCAGGAGAGAAGGTCGTAGTAATAACTGACCAGAATAATGGACAATAGGTTGCTACAAGGGAACCTGCACCGCGCCCGTCAAGCTCTACCATTATTTGAATATACAATGACGGAGCGCGGTGCAGGTCTGGGTATAGCGGCGGAGCCCATCATGTCCCCAGGAACCATAGATGGTTCGGGGACGAGGAGGGCTCTGTCGCTATTGTATGGAAGGCAAGCGACAGCTCACCCCCCGCGAAGTATTTAGACCGCGGAAGGGGATTCGTAGTGGTCAGGTGGGGAGTCATCACCGTGATCGGGGTATACCTGCCCCCAGCAAAGAGCCTGGGCTTGGTTAAATATAAGTCCAGGCTCCAAGAAATGGGGGATGCCATAAAGAGGCATCTCCCAGGCCATGTCATCGTCGCCGGTGACTTCAACACTAAATCAGAGCTATGGGGCTCCCGGCGCGATGACAGGAGGGGGGAGGTAACGACGGACTGGGCCGTGGGCCTGGGTCTGCACATATTGAATGATGGTAAAAAATCTACCTTCGTGGGGTCGATGGGGGAGTCTATTATCGACTTGTCTTGGGCAACCCCCTCGGCCCTGCGAAGGGTGCGGACCTGGAGGATGGCGGACGAGCTCGAATCCTTATCTGATCATCTCATCATAGAGATGGAGCTGTCCGTCGCCCCCGACGGCCTGCGGCCTCGCAATGTGGATAGACCCCGGCCCGGTAGATGGGCGCTAGCTCAACTCAGCAGGGAAGATCTGGAGATCTCCCTGATGGGCTCCACCTGGCCACAATAGAAGGACGGGTAGGATCTTGACTCTGAGGTCATGGAGATTATGCAGGTACTCGCACTAGCGTGCGATGCCTCCATGTCCAGAGTCAGGGCCTGCCCGAAACGATGTGCCTAGTGGTGGACCGACCAGATTACCGCGTTGCGGCGGAGGTCGGTCCATCTGAGGCGCGTGTTCCGAGCGGAGCGAAACAAAAGGAACGCTAACCCTGAGGCCACTCTGGTCGCCCGGCGGGAGTTTTGCGGAGCTGCCAAGGAACTCCGAGACGTCATAGGGGTGGCCAGAGGAAAGGGGTGGGACGACCTCCTCCTCTCGCTAGATGCGGATTCGTGGGGGCGCCCATACAGGATGGTCATGTAGAAGCTGAGACCATGGGCGCCCCCTTTAATGGAGACGCTTGACTCCCGGTTCCTGAGACGGGTGATGGGAACCCTATTCCCGGTTGGGGAGGACAACCCCATCACCCCGTACATAACCCCATCCCTCGAACAACAGGAGGAGTTTCCGGGATTCACCGAGGAGGAGGTGGCCGAGGCTACCAAAGGGTCAAGAGCAGGAAAGAAGCTCCAGGACCCGATGGTATCCCCGGCCGTATCCTCACCTTGGCCTCAGGCTACACAAGCGAAAGATTCGCACACCTCTTCACGAGGGCGTTTAGAGAACGGAAATTTCCCCCAATCTGGGGGAGGGCTAACGTGGTCCTCCTCCGAAAAGAGGACAAGCCGGAGGACTCCCCCTCCGCGTACCGGCCCATATGCCTCCTGGATGAGGCGGGCAAGCACTTCGAGCGCATAATAGCGGCCCGCCTCAGGAGGCATGTGTCCCTGGAGGGTCCTGAACTAGGCGACGGCCAATATGGCTTCCGAGAGGGAAGATCAACCGTGGATGCAGTATTGCATCTGAGGTTCCTCTCGGCCATAGTGTAGGAGGGCAGGGTGGCAGTTGCGATATATTTAGATATCACAAATGCGTTCAACACCCTGCCCTGGGGTAGGGTGGTGCAGGCGATGAGGAACTATTTCCGCTTCCCACCCTACCTCACGGCCGTCGTCAAGGATTACTTCCGGGGTCGGCGTCTCATGTGGACGAACGACGATGGCACGGTACGAGAGAGGGGGATGAGTCGTGGGGTCCCATAGGGATCAGTGTTGGGGCCCCTACTTTGGAGCATTGGCTACGTCTTAGTCCTCCGGACAGCCCTCCCCCCGGCTGTAGTACGTTGTGCTACGCAGACGATACACTTGTCCTAGCCGGGGGGAGAGACTGGGGGGAAGCCGTTCAAACGGCGAACTTAGCGGTGGCGGCGGTTGTGTGCTCCATCCGTAACCTGGGCCTGGTGGTGGCAGAGAAGAAAACCGAGGCGATTTTTTTTCATGCAAAGGGCATGAAGCCACCCCGGGCCCACGTGAAGATCGGACAATTCAGGGTCCCTATAGAGGCCCAGATGAAGTATCTGGGCCTCACTCTGGACGGCACCTAGTGCTTCAAAGAACACCTAAACAGGCTGGTCCCTCGACTCAGGATGGTCTCCATCAGATTGGGCAGTTTAATGCCCAATGTCGGGGGACCAGACATGAAGGCACATCGCCTCCACGCGGGAGTGTTTAACTCGGTGGCGCTGTATGGAGCGCCAGTGTGGGCCGAGTCGCTGGCCGCCAGTCGCCCGATGCAAGCGCGGATGCGCAGAGTGCAAAGGGGGTTAGCGGTCAGAGTGGCCAGATGCTACCGCACCGTCTCCTGCGTGGCGGCGACAGTCCTGGCGAGCATGCCCCCCATGGAGCTCATGGCCCTGTCGTACAAACGTATGTACGACAGGAAGCGTGAGCTCCTAAAAACAGGGGGGCAGATGAACCGCTCGCCAGGGCAATTAGGCAAATGAAGCACCAGACTCGACGGATCCTCCTCGAAAGATGGCAAAGACACTTGGCCAATGCCAGGTACGGGAGGAGGACCGTCGAGGCCGTCCGGCCCTTCCTACTCGAATGGGTGGGAAGGGCCCATGGGGCCCTGACATTCAGGGCGGCACAGGTGCTCACCGGGCATGGTTGCTTCGGTGAGTACCTGTGCCGCATAGGAAAAGAGCGCACAACCGCCTGCCACCACTGCGGGCATGGCCACGACTCCGCGCAGCACACGCTCCAGGAATGCCCGGCCTGGAGCAATGAGCGCGGAGTTGTGGAAAGGGAGATAGGTCGTGACCTCTCGCTCCCCAGTGTAGTCCGTGCGATACTGGGGGGCGAAAAGAAATGGGATGCTTTTACCTCCTTTTGCGAAAGCGTGATGAAGCAAAAAGAGGCTGAGGAAGAGAGAAGGAGAGCGGAAGGAAGAGGAATGAGGAAGAGACGGAGGGACCGCCACCGTCAGCGGAGGGAAGGGATGAGCAGGAGCAGGGAGGGGGACGCAGACTCCTCGGAGGAGAAGGAACTCAGGCGACTGGGGGGACAGCCACCACCATCTCCTCCCCCTCCTCCCTTGCTCCCCCAATAAAGAGAGGGAGAACGAGGAAGAACTGGAGAGGGAAACTAGGAGCCCTCATAAGGGATAGAGGGGTGCCGATAGTCGTGCTACAGCGACTGGCCCCCATAGCGATAGCATCGGCAGCGTTGTTGGTTGCGACCCCGACAACAGCAACAGCAACGATGTCAACGATGCCCACCCCCACTTCATCAGGGATGGGGACAGTTGCGGAAGAGGAAAGGGCGGAGTGGAGGACGAGGCTCCGAACCAGGCCATCCAACCGCAACGCATCGGCTACCCAAAAAGAAGCCGGATGACGGTAAGGGAGGGAGAGTACGTTGGTGATGGATCCATCATCACGTAAAACACATCTCCACCCCCTTAATGCGGGGCCCAACAAATGTGTTGGGCATGCAGCAGGAGGGGGGTCGCTAGGACCCCCCATCCCATTCCTCTGCGGAGGTGGGAGAAACCCTGCGGCTAGGGGATTATTTCCCTCCGTAACCGGGCGGGGACTCCCGGTGCCCCAACCAACCCTTCCCAACGTAGGGTGGCTGGCTGATACGGTGGGTTAGTCAGCCACACAACATGTACTGGCGGCGCCTCATCTGGTCAGGAACGGTGGTTGAAGCGGGCTTTGGCCGGCTTCCCCCTTCCTGACCGAAGAGATGAGGCGTGAGGGGCGGGAAAGGGGAGCGGTGGTCGAAGCGAGCCCTAGGGCCGGCTTCCCCCCTCCCCTGGGGGAGCGGTGGTCGAATCGAACCATAGGGTTGGCTTCCCCCCTCCGCCACCTGTCCCTCAGGGATAGAAGGTGCAACACCTGGACTCGGGGCCCCGATTGCAGTTACACGGCACCGGGGCCCCGATTCAAGTCCCTTCGCAGCGCCACCCGGGGAGGTTTTATCCGGTAGGAGTCCGGCATAACCCTGGCCCTTCCCCGAGGATCCATGATGGATTTCCTCCTCATCAAAAAAAAAAATGAGGGGCAGAGCGACCCCG